AACTTTGTTAATAGAAAACCACCGTGCACACGATTTGGAAGAAATTATCCTTATTTCTAGGTTGTAGCTAGTCTTTAGGTCCATCCTACAGATGGACAACAACGAGTTTATGTACATCTACCAGCAATACAATGAAATAAGAACCAATCCAATAGGAAAAAACTCACCCTACTGGGAGCCAGACCAGAGGGACACCCCCTCCATTGTCCGTCATTCCTCCTCCTTGCCCGGTCCAATCCGCCCCCAAAACTTAGATCCGCCCTCCTCCTACCCAAGGGATGCGAGATGAGGGGGGATATGCTTGGTTTCTTCCCTACCGCCGCCGCTGCTAGGTTTTCGGTGAGGAGCAGAGAGAGCTCGAGTGAAAGGGAAGGAGAGACAGAGAGATTTTGAGTCAGTCAACGAAGAGTGAGAGAGACAAGAGAGTTAAGCCTAGAGATGGAGGGGTACCATGGACATTTGCACTCGGACCCACTTGACAGAGCCAAATCCCCGTTAAAACAAGGGCAAAAGCAACGACAGTGGCACTGAAGGAATAAAAGTTTGGAGCTGTGTCTGAGAAGTCTATGAAACTTTTTTAATGGCACGCTAGGAATTGCGATATTTTATAATGGCCTAGAAGTAAAAGGCTCTTTTCCCTTTATGCCATGGTTGAAAGCTCTAGTTTGGTTTTGGTGAATTGATGAAACCCTAAGTGCTAACCTAGTTTATCAAGTGATCATAAGATAGGTAGCACATTCCAAGTGGTGAAGCAAATGAAGATCATGACATGATGATGGTGATGTCATGGTGATGATCAAGTGCTTGGACTTGAAAAGAAGAAAGAGAAAAATAAAAGGCTCAAGGCAAAGGTATAAGTGGTAGGAGCCAATTTGTTTTTGGTGATCGAGACACTTAGTGAGTGTGATCACATTTAGGATCGAAAGCCATACTATTAAGAAGCCATACTATTAAGAAGCCAGGTTAGGTTGCTCTACAGTGAATGATCCAACCTTGGGCATCGCTTGCTGAGAAGGCAAATTCCGAACATGCTGGAAGCAGCCAGCAAGCACTTTGCGTTAGATAGCGGCATACCTCGTCACGCTGCTTCTCAAGGCACGCGGCAATCTCCTGGTGTTCGATGTCAGTCGACATGGTTCATGTGGCATTCGGCCTCCTTGAAGATCTCAAGCAGCGAATAGTTCTGCTCACTCCACATGACCGTGTCTACCCTATCCCCCACCACCAAGCACAGCTACTCTGCTGAGCCGTCATTGCCCCTCGCTCCTGCCCTCCTCAGATGTGTACCACATGCAGAGCTCCATGGACAAGGCGCCACCACCGCGTGACGAGGTTGACTCATGGGAATAAGAGACCCGACCAATGGATGGAGCAGGCATGGCATTGCGTTGCCACCTGCCACCAGTGGAGTTTTGATTCACTAAATCTGTCCCCAAAACTACTACTGTCTTCTATCAACACTTGGTGGCTCATCCGAACTTTCTCAACCATCTGACGTCAACATAAGAGCTTCAGCAAAGACGAGGTGAGGATATATCGTGGTGTCTGCATTCAGTTTCAGCGATCCAGCAGGTTAAGATAAAAAAAAACTGGAAGTCAACGATGAAAGCAAGGGTTGAGCTCATGGAATGCAAACCAATGAACAGATAAGAACATTCCAAGCACAAAGTCAGCATGCCTGGATAATATGATAACTTGCAGGACTGTTCAGTACAAGAAAGTGAAGAAACAAACAAGGAAGCCACGCCGCCACGGAGCTCTGTTCTAATACAGAATGAGAATCTAATACATGGACTCATGCCCGTTTTCCTGTCAGATTATACTGACATCTCTCAATATCACCTACACAGAGGGCTACAACAGGAACATGAAAATTCCATCCAGATTCTAGAAACCCACACAACTGAGGGGATACAGAATCAAATAAGCAAGCAGTTCTCTTCCTCTGAGGAAAACATGGTGAAGGATGCTTCAAATGATATGAGGAATATAGTTCAGCTAACATCGGCCCTATTGATAGAATGGACCATGCCTATCTGATGACTGTTACCATGCAAACTGCTAATAAGTTAGTCATCTCAGGATCATGGCATGGAATGACCAGTCCTACCAGGATTAGAGTGAGAATGGTGTTTGACACTTTGACGGCTGTACAATTTCATATAAAAGACGCACCATATGCATTAACTGCTTGAGCAGCACCATATGCTTTAATTGCTGGAACGCAATATAACAGACACAGGACAAGCCGCGCTCATCAGTTGCCAAGGCTGTTAAAATATTCCAGCACACACAGTCTATCGAATGGTCAACTCAAGAAGGAAGGGCCATGCTCACATCACGTATGGGACACCAAAAGGGCCTCCATTCCCTAGCATTTCAGACCATGAAAACAATTGTAACAGGTCCAGAAAAGACAATCTATCATATACATTTTACTCGACCAAAGGTGCAAATGAGATGCTAACCGGAACTGTCATACAAAGCCCATGTCAAGTTCCGGTGATGTTCAGAACATACATTCTGGAAGAGTTTCAGCAGCAAATTTTTCTCCCAGCTCATGGCCTGGCAACTGACATGTAGCGTGCATGCAAACATAAATAACTGACATGACCCTAGAGTGCCCTGAGCAGGCCGGGCCGGGTTTTCAAAGAGAGAGCATGGTTGCTCCTTCAGTAGTGATCTTGGCAATTTGTTATTTAAGAATGTGCTATAGTAGTCCACTAAATGTATATTGAAATTGAATATCCACAGAGCCAAGATATTTTCATCAAGACCAGAATTTCATACCTCGAATTTGTTAATAGAAAACCTGCCACGGTACAGAAAGAGCAAACACAATGAAATGTCACCCACTCACCCAGATCCATCAGCCTTGGTACTTTATGGAAGACCAGAAAAATACTGTATCAGGTTACAACACAGCTCTATTGGATACCATCCAGTCCCATCGCCTTACCTCCTTTCATCCTTTTCAACGCCTCTCTGACCTCAGATTCTTAGATTCTCTGCAATTTATCAAAATACTCTTGCCATCGATGTCGGATCTCATCCTCCTTCGCCAAGAGATGCTCCCTTTCATACTTAATGCACTTAACTTGGTTGAAGCCTATTGTCTTTCTCTCACGAACCCTAGCCATCTTATAAATGTCCTTCTCTCCTTCCTTCGTACTCAAATGTTGATAAAGATCCTCGTACGCTCTACCCTTTGCTACACTTACAGCTCGCTTTGCAGTCTTCTTTGCCACCTTATACTTGTCTATGTTGTCCACACTCCTGTCATGGTACAAGCGTCTATAGCATTCTTTCTTCTCCTTAATAGCCCTTTAGACTTCCTCATTCCATCACCAATTATCTTTAGCCTCGCCTCCACTTTCATTGGTTACTCTACACACATCTGAGGCCACCTTCCGAATGTTGGTTGTCATCTTCTCCCACATGTTGTTTATGTCCTCTTCTTCCTTCCAAGAGCCCTCTTTAATAACCCTTTTCCTGAATACCTCTGATGTCTTCCCTTTCAGTTTTCATCACTTTGTTCTTTCAATCTTAGCTTGTTTATCCCTACGGGCACGCACCTAAAAACGAAAGTCTGCCACCAAAAGCTTATGTTGAGAAACAACACACTCCCCTGGTATCACCTTGCAACCCAAGCATGCTCGTTTGTCATTTCTTCTTGCGAGGACAAAGTCAATCTAGATAGAGTGTTGTCCGCTACTGCAGGTCATTAGATGAGATTCTCTCTTTCTAAAGAAAATATTGGCTATCATCAGGTCAAAAGCTACCGCGAAGTCCAGAACTCCCCCTCCCTACTGATTCCTACTACCATACCCAAAACCTTCATGAACTGCCTCGAAACCTACACTTGTAGTACCTACATGGCCATTAAGATCTCCTTCTATAAAAAACTTCTCACTACTAGGTACAGCTCTAATCAGGCTATCTAAATCTTCTCAGAACTGTCTCTTAGCACTCTCGTCGAGGCCTACTTGGGGGGCATACGCACTAATTACGTTCAAGACCATATCACCAACGACAAGCTTGACTAAGATAATACCATCTCATTGCCTTCTCACTCCCACCACACCATTCTTGAGGCTCTTATCAATAAAAACTCCTAATCCATTTCTATTCGCGACTGTCCCTGTGTACCAAAGTTTGAAACATGTATTGTCCACCTCCTTCGCCTTCTAACCCTTCCATTTAGTCTCTTGAACGCATAATATATTTACACGTCTCCTAGTCACGGTATCAACTAATTCTCTTAACTTACCTGTAAGCGACCCTACATTCCAACTACCTAAACGGATCCTAGTTGGTTCGACTAGCTTCCTTACCCTTCGTAACCGTCGACTCAGATGTGAAGACCCTTCTCATTTTTCACTACACCCGGGCGCCGATGTAGCGCGCCACTAAGGAAGTGATGACCCGATCCTTGCTCACTTGACACTATGCCCAGATCGCGACACGGCGCGTCACCAAGGGGGTGCCGACCCGGCCCTTGCCCATTTAACACCATACCTGGGTTCCGATATGGCGCGTCGCTAAGAAGGTTACGCCCCAACGGTTTTCTTTCGTGTTTCATCTTTATTAGAATGGCTAGATTTAACGTTGGCTCGCCACGTCTATCACAACCCTCACCCTTTACCAAGGTTTGGGACCTACTATGTTGAGACAACATATCTAAATTATTCCTGTAGATTGCAGAGATACGCACAATCATTTTCTTGTGTACCTTTGCTTCATGTTTGTGTTAAGTTTCAGTTTTGGAATCATATGCAAATGTGAAATAGGTCATGGTATGGTCGTTCAGAATGAAACAGGTCATGGTATGATACAACTGTCTTGTACTCTGGCGATATTCAAGTTTGCATTAGAATCACATGGCTGATTCATGAACTTTGGCGTTTTTAGGTAGCCTTTTATAATCTAGTCATTCATAATGTTTAACTAATTTTGTTGCAGTTCTTTACATACAGTTTCTGCTTTAATATTTTTTCAAAATGGTATTAAAAAATTAGATTAAGATTTTTCAGGTTTACCAATAGTGAGGCCAACAGTTTTGGTGTCATTAGCAAAAAAAGAATACAGTTTCTAGTTTGGGTTTTATTCAATGATAAGTTTTATATGCTTATTTGTCAACGCTCAAATGCTGCTTGAGCTCTAAACAATCTTGTCAATTACTTGATGTTTGTGGAGGCCCAGAGGGATTCATAACAGCATCAATTGTGTGGAAGTTATATGAAACATATATTTTATGTGCACTCATTCCATTCTCAGCAGTTTTCATGTTCCCTGTAATCTTTAAGAGTAACTTGGTGCTGTCTTTCAATTTTGTAGGTGCCGATTCCTCCTGGACAAGTTTATGCTATAAATGATGCCTTGTCAGCTGAGGGAGCAGCAGATGACTATGAAGTGTGCTTGAAGCAGCTTGTTAAGAACGGTGTGATTTCCATGTCAGCAGCGACTGGATTTCCCAGGTTTGATCTCCAGCTTCTGGGAATGGGACCTGATGGCCACATTGCATCTCTCTTCCCTGGTCACCCTCTTGTTAATGAGAAAGAGAGGTGGGTCACATACATTAAGGATTCTCCAAAACCACCACCAGAGAGAATCACATTTACATTTCCAGTAATCAACTCATCTGCATATGTTGTAACTGGAGCTGGAAAGGCTGCAGCGGTGCAGAAAGCACTTTCAGACAAGCAAACCTCATCGGATTTGCTGCCTGTTGAGATGGCTGTACTGCAAGATGGAGAATTCACTTGGTTCACTGACAAGGCAGCAGTGTCCATGCTGCAGAACAAGTAAAGTCCATGGTAATCTTAGCTCGAAGTCAGTTTAGCTCATAAATAAAAGATCCAGGGGCCTGCATAGTTGCATTCGTCCTGCAGGATTGGGACCGAGACTTGAGCCTTTTATGTAGTATATATTGTTCAGAAAAACTCTTTTGGCTTCCGGCTTTTCTGAAACATTGCTCAATAAGTGTCTGGTTTAGTACATGGTTCACTGTTTTGTGCTAGAAGCATGGATAGGAAATGTGGCTGCATTTTCTTCCAGGCTTGCCGTTACTGGCATGTCCCAGTTTCCAGTAGTTTTCAGTGCTCGTGCCATCTTATATATGAACAGTGATCTGCATTCCCAGTGATAGATTCCTTCATTGCAGTTCCCCTACCTGAGCATTAAAGAAGCTCATTTGGGGCAGTTGCGCTGAAAATATTTGCATAAGCTATTCAGCTGTCAGGAGTCTGGGCCTGCATATGTAGGGGCTTTTTGGTTGTTTTGCCGGCCCAAGCTAGCTAGGCCAGGGTTGCTATGTGGTGTTTGGTTCCTTGCTGCTTAATCTCGTCTTTCCCTCCCCTCATGTGTTCCCCTTCCTAATCAAATTTGATCCAGAACGAGCAGATCTCCAGTTCGTCGGCAATCAAGTTGTACGAAGCAACACGCAAGCATCACATCCGAGCTTAATATCTTCATCAGTTAGCACTAATAGCCCAACGCAATCTTCATATATCTTATTTATATGTACATCTACATTTATACCTAGTATTAAAGAGTACAACTAATATTAAAGAGCCAAGTGATTCTTTCGTATCTTTTTTACTTTCCAAAGTACCCTTATGTCTCTCCTAGTTAGACTCATGGTCCGTGCATATACGAGTTAAAACTGTGTGCGTTTGTGCGTTCAGCAATGGTAGTTCGATTCAAATGCATATTATAATACATAATGCGACTGTTACATAAATCTCTAAATCACAAATTGTTCAAATGGCCATGTAATAAAATGTATATTTGTTGTAACGTATGCGTACGTTTGCTAGTTAATTCAAATGGTAATGATAGGATGCGTGCGTCTGGAGGGCCCGCACCCGCACTCCGCTCGCTGCTTCAGAGCGTGTCCGCACTCCGCCTCCATGTCTCCACAAAAAAAAAAGCTCAGCTCGTCGTCTCCAGCGTAGCTGCGCAGGGCCGCTCGCCGCAAGCAACACACCCGACCGCTGTGGCCTTCTCCAGCACGGCAGCGCCGTACCCGCGCGCCCATCCCTAGCTGCTCCGCGCCCCCATCCCTAGCTGCTCTGCGGTCCACGCCACCATCCCGCGCCACGCCACCATCTACCTCGGGAGGAATGCACCTACGCTTGCACCCCCATCAACCTCGCCCGTCGGCGAGAAGGGGAGGCCTGCGCCTGCGCCTGCCCTTTGGTGTACACTGGGCTGTTGACATACCCCGGACTAGCGCATGTTGCCAGCGTATGTTTTAATTGTTTCAAAGGTATGTAGCAAGTGTTTTATATAAATATTGCAAAAGTAGATCGGAATGTTGCATATATTGCAATGGCTATACACATATGTTGTAAGCGTCTATTCCAAATGTTTCATCTGTTTTTTCAGACGTATGTTGTAAGTGTGTTTATTTGGATGTTGCATATGTTTCACACATATGTTGCAAGTGTTTTATCTGCATGTTGCATATGTTTTGCAATGACTTTTCGAGCGTTTTTTTAGTTTTTTTTTTCAAGTGTTTCAGACGCATGTTTCATGTGTTTCATCTCCAGACGTATTTTGTAAATGTTTTCATCTAGATGTTTCAAAAGTAAATCGGGTGTTGCACATGTTGCAATAGCGCCAGTGGATGGCGGACAGCAGCCTGTTGCAGGGCTTGGGCTCCTACCTCGCACCTTCCTTGCGCGGCGCCCTCTCCTCTCCTCTCCCTCCCCTCCCTTCCCTTCCCTTCCCTCATTTCGCCGTGGCAATTCGAGATCGGCGGGAAACCATACCCGACGAGCACGTAGACGCCCGCGGAGGTGGTGCCCCCTGGTATGCCAACGGTGGTGCGATGCCCATGTGGTGGCCCCGGAGCAAGCTAAGGTCCACACCGTCCACTCGCTACGCGCGCGGGAAACAAGCAACCGTGGGTGTCCGCGTCCATCCAGGCGCTAGTAACGCCCTAATTCAAAAGCACAGACGGTGATCATGTTTGCTAGTTAATTCAAAAGCACAGACGGCGGCTTGTGGCGTTAGGATGGTGATTGAGGCCACGGAGCTGCAGAGTGCCACCAAGGCCAGCATATCCCCTTTCTCTGATGAGCTTGGATTGGAGTTCAATTTTTGGCATTATTTATACTCATCTTATTTTGAATTGAGTAAAATACACGATGGGTCCTTAAACTTTTACCACATTCTCATCTGGGTCCTCAAACTAAAAAAGCGACCATCTGGGTTCCTAATCTATTGCCGTCGCTCACCAACGAAAACACACCACATCAGCGCCAGCATCTGACGTGGCCATGCCACGTAGACAGCTCCTAGGTCAGGCCATCATGCCGGCCAGCGTGGGCACGCCGCGGCGCTCTGCACGCGCGACGGGAGGAAAAGGAGGGGCGGAGCGCTGCTGCAGAGCCGTGTTTGGCATAGAGCGCAGTCACGCAGGGTGGTACGGAGCAGCGTGGAGTCAACGGCTGCGAGCGTATGGCCGGTGCCATCTATCTAGGAGCAAGAAGGAATGGACGGGGGACTCCACCCCAGGACGACTCCACACACGGCGCCGGCCGCCGGACAGTTGGTCTGCGCCGGGAGATGCAAGATGCATCAGTTGCTCGAGCCCTGCAATAGGATTGCACCCACGTCTGGCCGCACGGAAGAGATCGACGGCGGATTCGTTCGTGAGCACCTGCGCCGGTCTGTGTGCCTGTTAGGTTTCCAAAATTTTGCAAAATTTTTCAAGATTACTCGTCACATCGAATCTTTGGACGCATGCATGAAGCATTAAATATAAATAAAAAATAAAACTAATTACACAGTTTAGACGAAATTCACGAGATGAATCTTTTAAGCCTAATTAGACTATGATTGGACACTAATTGCCAAATAACAACGAAAGTGCTACAGTACTATTTCCCCAAAAAAAACGCTAACTAAACAAGGCCTGTGTCCACGCACGCTACACCGAGTTCCATTGTCAACGCCGATGGGAGGAACGCACGGAAGCCGCGGCCTGTCGGAAGAGCAGGCACAGGAGAGCGAGGTCGGCCGGCTAACCACGCACGCCAATCAGCGGCTGACCAACGAATGCACATGCTATCTACCGTCAGGCCGTCACCACGACGCCGGAGTGCGTCGAGCTACATGCATGCAGGTGCATGTGTGCTTGCAGATACGTGCTCACCGCTCACGTGCAAGCTAACAAGCCAGGAGGCAGCCACATCTCTGCACACGACGCCAACGAGGAGGAGATCGACGGCACAACGGCACGGATAGCGGTGGCTCCCTGCTCATCTGTTCTTCAGACGGCTCTCTTCTTTCTCTCACCGAACGGGAGCAGGCGCAGCCGTCTCCGTTCTTCGCGCGAGCGCCGCGTGACCCCACGCCTCGGCTCCGCCCTGCTGCGTGCACCCCGGTCGTTCCTCTGTAGCAGCAGCCGTTGACTCCGCGCTGCTCCGTACCGCCCCGCGTGCCTGCGCTCTGTGCCGAGCAGGGCTCTGCAGGAGCGTCCCGCCCCTCCTTTTTCTCGTGACGCGCGAGCAGAGTGCCGCGGCGTGCCCAGGCCGGCTGGCATGATGGTCTGACCTAGGAGCTGCCTATGTGGCATGGCCACATCAAATGTTGGTGCTGACGTGGCTGGTTTTGGATTATTAGTGTGCGACGACAATAGTTTAGGGATCTAAATGGTCATTTTTTTAGTTCGAGGACCCAGATGGAAACACGCTAAAAGTTTAAGAACCAACCGTACATTTTACTGTTTTGAATTTGAACTTAGTTTTTATTAGCTGCGCACATGCATATGAGCTCGGTTTGAGAAGGTAGGGGTTTGATTGGCAGCAGTTAATTTGGTGATCAGAGAAGCCAGATTTAGATATCCAGAGAAGTAAACTGAGGGAATGGCAACAAGGGAAAAAACGAGAAAGCAGCGTCATTCCAGACCTTGCTAGCGTAGGCGAGCCAACAAATGGCAATGCAGGCTAATACTTAGAGCATGCCTAATCCTGGCGTATGTTGTGGTTACTGGTTAGCCTCAAGAAAAAGATGCACTCTACCTAGACAATCACTAGATGAAGCTAACTGGGTCTCAGCGCAGGACAAAACTCTCTGTTTTTCCATTGTACATACCCATCACTTTCACCTTTCTTTTCCCTCTCTATATCTTTATTTGCAAACGGATGGTCCCTGCAACAAAACTATGCATTGAGCTTTCTATCCCTCACAATGCATGTTCGATTGGGCGCTTCTCTAGTGTGTTAGATGAAGTTGCATATATACCTCTGCATGCCACTCTGAACCTCTGCAGAGCACCAGCCTATGTGACATGGAAGCTCGACGTCGATGTGGAGCTTGGGGCATATGGCCAGCATGGTGCGTTAGGGCTGCTCTTACTGGTGGTCTCACGTTGAAGTCACTTCCACGTAGATTAAGTACTATTCGGGCACTTAAAGCCACAACCCAAGTACTAATAAGATGGTTGCTTTGCTCTACTATCCCTCCTATCTCCATGTCAGTTTCACATGTTGTTGGTCCGGAAGAAAACACGCGAGAATATTTGCTTTTGGCCACAACACGCGCTTGAGTTATGGCTTCTGTTTTTTGTCAAACGAAGCGAAGGATGCTTCTGCAAGCCCCTCTAACACGCTGCAGAGCTAACAATCCAGTTGATGTAGACTCTTTGCACTAATGTGGAAGATGGGGGCACGTGTTAGGGTGTTGGGTGTTGTAGCATTGAGCGTGGCCTAAGTTTTTCCTCGCTCTGGCAGCCGATTATTGGGTAAAGTGAGAAACGTTGGCGCTACCAAACAACGAACCTCTGGGCAAGGGGAGGC